GTGTGTGTGTGTGTGTGTGTGTGTGTGTGTGTGTGTGTGTGTGTGTGCGTGTGTGTGTGTGTGTGTGTGTGTGTTTGGCAGGACTGCCTGTTATGGGAATCATAATGACATCAACAAAGCCACCAAGGCTGATCTGATTGAAACTTTGTGACCTCAACACTGGGAAGTAAGGATGTAAGCAGCCAAATACAAGTTTTCTATGGAAGTGCATATAACATAATAAATACATTTCTTCTACATTCACCTAAAGCACCAAGCAGCTCCTAACTGAGCTAGAAACACAAAACTTAAACATCAGTGACCAACAAGCCTTTAAAAAGACTACGCTAAGTTTTTGAGCGACAGCACTGTCAAGGTGCAGGTCAAAGTTCAACAAGATTGAACTATGTGCGGAATAAACAAGGAAGCAAATGTGTCTTTTTTGTCATTGAAATGGATGGGGAGTGGTTTTTGATCCAAACACATCTTCAGGCATTCGCATTATAGCTGCAAAAGTGTGATAATCTGTGATATAAGTGATGTGACTCGAGTCAACGTCCTTTGAGGCTGAAGACAACAAGTTTGAAAATGAAGAAAAATCCGGGGTTGTGGAGTTAGAATGAAATGAGTCAGACCTCTGTAGTCTGCTCCTCATCTCTGCTTGAGGCTAGTGGCGTGAGGCTACATCAGCCGCTACTAGCATAACACACCCAAACCTCTGATTTAACGCTCGCTGGTCCAGTAGCATTGTGGGTAATGTAGGCAAAAGGTTTTGACAAGTAAGAAGAATGCATGGAATAAAAAGATCATATCTCTGGTTCTGCTGCATTGATTTGAACTGTCCAAAAATGTTAAATGAGTGCAATGCTAATCGGTGACGTACTCTTGGTAGTTTTACAGTTCTATCAGACACTTTTACTAATCTATAGCAAAAGATACACAGATGAACTGTGAAAATAATCTGAGGTTACAAAACAAATCTATTGTTTAAAATCACAATAGTAGCGTCTGGAGGCCAAACACTCATAGAGCTGTTTCTTAATTATGTAAGTTAAATTAAGAAGGCTATGTAAAGCTCCAAAAGACACACAAAGGAAATCCAACTGTCTCACGTTGCTATAGTGACACCTTAAACCAGCAGCAAAGTTATGAAAAGAAAATCCCACTGCCGTGTATCGTAAGTGTAACCTGAACCAACAGCAAGGCAGAGCAGCCTCGACCCATTAAACCCAACAAGTGAACAAATAGACAGTTTGGGAGGTGAAACCCAACAGAGCCTGAATACAAGTAAAAAGGCACCAGCTGTAGTTACCAGACCAAACCCACTGAACACAACAACCAAATGAATGAGTCACAGCTATTGTACGCAGGTGTATTCTCATAAACTGTTTCAGGTGAGCAAGCTCATGCTGCAAAGAGCTGCGCTCTCTATCCCACGGACATTCTGCAAAACTGAGGCCAGACTCCTCCATGTATCGTTTCAGATGAAACACATTGTGGTCAGCGTTAGAACCAGTAAACCGCGGCTAAATCAGAGCGCCAACTTGTTCTCCCAGGCCATCTAAAAAACAGGTCGACGTCATAGAAGCATGTTGACAACGCAAAGGTAAATTACAACACATAATTACAAAATAACTGCCAGAATACAGACTGATGATTCTTCAAGCTGATATAACGATTAAAGTTAAGGGTGGAAGCTTCTTTAAAAAGTAGAGGTAGCCGTTCCCAAGAGTAGTCGTCTCCGCATGTATAGCAACAGCAGCATTGTTTGTTTTTCATTAATAAAAACCCTCTTTTCAAAAAGAAGTGTTATTGCAGTCTAGTCTCCCGATTTGATGGGATTATTTCCCTCGGCAAGAGAGCCTTACGTTTCTTTGAAGATACATACTCTATATAGTCAAAAAGATAGTCACCAGAGGCAAT